GAGAGAATGAGCTTTTTCGAGAGAGCCAGTGAATTCTGTGTTTCTCGTGTACCCAATATAATAGGTTGACACAGCATAGATGTATCAGTTACATCGTAAATAATCCTGATGATTTATTAATTTTAATGCGAAATCTGAAAAATACATCGTGCTTTCTGATCAAACTCTGCGATTTGTCTATAGTAAATTAATAAAATATGCAATCACGTTAATTTAATAAATTATCATTATTAATATCGCTATTATACGTTTCCTCGCGGTTATCTCTCATCTCTATAATAATTGATCTCCTGCCACTAATAAATTAAAGCGCGATATCTACGTTTAATGTCATTACCACCACATTTGAATAAACGCCTGTGCGTAGTTCATCCTATCTATCAGCCTCTTCCAGTGGGGTGGCATCCGATATTTCGGGATGCGGTTCACGTCCCATCGTCATCGCCACATTTTATGTGGCCTATGATTATTTGAAACGTGCCCTACCGCGGCGTGCTATCCCGCTTTCTCGAATTTTCATTTCCATCGGGGTGAACCGCAGGCTCGCGATGTCAGTTCCCCGGCTAAATTATACATGCACGTCGCGCAAACAAGAGCACGCGTTGTGCAATATGTATATACATACCGTGCACCCTATTTTCGGGGAACATTAGAGTGTGGAAGATTGAGAAAAGATAAGTTTCCAAATCGAGAGCACTATATCTTTTTTATCCTTGTATCAATTAAGAAACTTATATATTTATTTGAGGTTTGAAGACTCATTGGATATTTTGTTTTGATCTTGATTAAGTGCAGTCTGTTTAGTTAAATCCATTCGAAATGGGCAACGTTCAATAGTTCTGTAGGCTGTTGGTAATGCCGGTGACCCTTTCAACGGAATCCCCCTTGAATCTGATTGAACGTCACGAACCTCCACGTGGTTGAGATCAATGACAATCACGACGGCACACGCGGAAGATACCCTGGTCCAAAGTTGGTAATGGACGCCAGCGGGCCGGCAAACAGGCAGGAACGTCGCCGTTATCGCGACGAGATAACGTATTCACCGTCGATGAATATTCAGGGAGGAACGGGGGCGAATTTCGCGAACGCTTCCCGCCACTCCCGCGTCGATTCCGTGTCACGGCCTGACAACGTGTTCAACGGCTTAAGCCCCTGTGTCGAGCTATTTAGACCGCGAGAGCCTCCGGAACGCAACGCGCCAAGACGTAACGTTCCATCGGGGATCAACAGATTGAGATCGAAGTATGTCGGCCCGAGTCGAATAGCTTTCGCTTCCGGGACGTGGAACATATAAACTACGCGTTCTCATGGGAAAAGCACATGCTATAATTCCTTTGTAAAAACTTTAATGCTATGATTTTTTAGAAAAATGAATACCCTCCTCTCTCAGTTTATACATATATCAATTTACAATTATTTAGTTAATGCAAAATGATAAAACATAAGATTTAAAGCTGCTGCAGACATCGAGTCTTGAAACAATCTGCATTGCTATTCCGAACGAAAGTGGATGAAATCGTTTATCGAGTTTAAGAATCGGCCTCCTTCCCGGCTTTCGAGATTCAGCCTCGATAGAGGCGGAATGGATAGCTCCTCTGCTGACTCGCGATAAGGAAACGATTAACAGCTCACCAGCTGTTATCGATTGTATGAGAAATACTCCGCGTTCATATTCGGCTTTCTCTTCCTTATATTGTGTGCACTCTTGTACTGACAATGTACGCATTTTCTAAGGTCTCCTGTATGTCTGGCATAATCGTATGAAATATAAGAACACGTAATGCAGCATTCATAACCATGCACTGTCTTACAAAGGGGCGAATTCTTTTCTCCTGAAGAATTTCTAATATACCTACTACATCTTTCCTTTATTTGTCTGGAAAGAAAACGCGAGGGGAAGGAACATCGGCGAATACTGTGCAAATTAACCGCAGTAGGTCACCGGTAGAGTTCAGGGATTGAGACCTCTGCTCGCGTTCGTCAGGGAGTAATTTCCAAGAGTCTCGGGTACAATTCTTTAGAAGCGGTTTACTGGGTCACGAGGGTCTCGAAGGTAATCGAAGATCGAAGAGTAAACCAACGGGTTAGTTTCGTCCTCTCGGTTCGTCGCATACCGATTTTCTCTTACACTTCTATCGTGCGTGGTACGTGATCGCGCGCTACCGAGCGAGATCAGTCGCGAAGAAAATCGAGGATATTACCTCGCTCGGCACGTTTACATACGCGCACGGCGAGGCTTGTTGTTAATAGACTGTTCTCGAGCCAAGCATAACACAATCCCGCCGAAATTTCAACCTCTACAAGATTAATTTAGCCTAATAGCGCGATCATTCATGCGTGCACCGATCGCTCGGTACTTCGTCTACTCCAACTAAAGCCGACTTATTGTCCTTTCAAAAGGAGTCTCACCGAGTCTCTTGAGAAATGTTGATAGCTTTTGTAACTACTCTATTTGAAAATGTGTCAGCTTTCGAGATACAACGATCTTCCTAGACTCGCCTCGAGCGAGAACGTAAAATTTTGGAAATACCTTCGGTAAAAATTTATTTCTCGACAAGAGCTTAACGGCTGCCTGGAGGCGTCGATCCGTGGAAATACCTTTTATTCCCGTGGCAACATGCGTCAAGAGCAGAAGGGCTGCGAAATCACGACGCCGTTTTTTCTCAGCCCGTGTCGTCGTCCTGGCAGGAAATTAAATAAAACAAACTCCGTTAGGGAAGAGAGGTCTCTATTTGTTTTCACGCTTTCCCGGTTACAGAATTTTTGCCGCGCAACAGGCCTTTCGAGTACGCCGGAAGAACGCCTCCACCGTACCTCCGAACATTCTATTCCGCGTTTCTAGGTCATAAGCTTTAGGGAACGAGCCGCTTCTTTGTTCGTTCTCCAATTCTTTCGGCAACGGGTATTTTTAGACACAAAAAATGCATTTTTTATACTTGTGTCCCTCCCAATATTCCGAATGATTTCCGATAAATTCCAACGTTTTGAATACGCCTATCATGTACCACACCCGAAATTCCCGGCTCAGAGTTTTACATACGTTTTAATGAATGAAAATAGAGTAGATACAAGAATATAAAAGCGACTAGTATTTTGAAGATAATTTTATAAAATTGCGGAAGAATGTAGGTAATAATTTATAAAAAGAGAACATATCTGGTTTATTTTGTAAATGCAATTGATATAGAATTTCGATTGACTGGTCACTTCACAAACCGCACCATTCACGCGGCGTTATTCATTTCATTCAGAAATCTAATCTAGGTCATTAATCGAATCGACCAATAAAAGAATCAAAGGTACAATTTCAAAGGAGAGAGAGGAGGCCCTTTCACCCTTCGTGGAAGCACGATTTTCGCTGCGAAACCAGTTCCCAAGCCGTTTAAACGGCAGTAATAGAATAACGCGAGGTACGGGAGGTTTGGTCTTTGGTGAAACAGGTAGGAAGCCTCTAATGAAAAATTTAAGACGAAACGTTCCGTCGCCGAGGGACCGTGGGGCCTCGAGCTGAATGCCAGCTTCCCTTTGCCTCAGACTTCTCCTTAACGTTTTCAGTTCGTTGCGACCACTCGAAAATGACCGAGTTCGCCCACAGTTTTTAAATGCGATCCTCGCGAAGGATTCGCGACGAGACGGTCTCCGTTTATCCGGTTGAACGACGATCATCACAGCCTGGGCTCGCATTTTAATAGCTTCACGTTCCTCCGTGATTTTCTATTCACCACAGCAAATTGGCTTATTAGTCATGCCATTCCCGGTCTCGATGACGGCTTTCCCATTCAAGGGAAACAGTTTGTCGAGACCTTATACATACATTGAAATGAAGTTGGCGTATAAATAGATACGGTTCTTCAGTTTTAACGACTCGTAATTGAGTTAAAGAAGAGGTTAAACCACTCTGTTAATCCCATGACCCACAAACCGAACGTTAATTCGCTCCAACACGCAATACTTTCCTCGCATAGATTATGTGTATAATATACTAGATATTCAAAAGAAGCAATCGTGTAAAAACTCAACTTATATTTAAATTAGAGGAGAGCCTGAGTTGATTACACGTTATATGAAAGAAATTCTCCATCGCGACTAAATTTGCATGCGAAACGAAACCGCAAGCTTATCGTTAGTTTAGCCGAATTTTCAAGATGTAAATTGCATTCACTCGCAAAAGCTTTGTTTACCGCGGAAGAAGTTTAATTAGCTGTCCAATTTAGACTACACAAAGATGCATTTTTCATCGCATCCTCGTATCGCATCCTTTAAAAAAACTTATCTCTTCGCGATCACAGTTCGTTGCACTCAACGATCATCGGATAGGATTTTATAAGCGTATTTTTTCCGTCACGGTGGGAGAGGAAACACGAAATAACGGGAGACGGTTACAATGCAGCGCGCGTAGATCGCGTCGACGAAAAGAAAAAAGACCGCTCCGGGATATAGTTTGCGCGCGTTTTAATTGGCACCTGGTAATGAAATGTAACGCGCTGCGCACCGTATCCAAGGAGCATTCACTGCAGTTCGTCATTATCAGTGCAGTCGGCTCGTAATCGTTAATTATCTTGAGCTTGCGCGAAGCTCCATGTAGCCTACAACCCTCCCAGAGTCGAAAACTACTATATTACACCCTGTATCACGCCTAAATTGCTAGTGAAATTGTTTTTACTTATTTCTTTATTACTTACTGTTTTATTCTGTTTCAATATATTGGAATTTCAATATAATGGAAACTGAAATTAATTGTATTTTATCGACACTGAGATAAAGTACCCTAACAGTTAGTTTCCCTCAGCAATAACCGGAAATATCAATAAAAAAGAAAAATCTAAATCAAAAACAGTTTCATGCACATGCAATGTATAATAATATTTTTAGATTAAAAGCTTTTTTAAATCAAGTAACTTTATCTCCTGTACACCTAAATAAATAAGCTCTGCTGGTACTTTAAAGGGGATTAAACGTGTTAACACTCGTCGTACGTTGGTACGGTGTCATTTTAGAGGCGGTAGACCCGAAGAAAAAGCAGCGTGCAGCAGGACGAGAGGAAGAAAATAAAAAGAGAGCTGTGAAAGTGTAAAACCCGTTAACGGCAATTAACGTATGCCGGTTTGGAAACAAAAAGTAAAATCGTTAGTACGCGTGCTTCTTTAATTAATCGCTCGGGATTAACGAGTTTCCGAGCCGATGGGACGGCCATCGCGTTACTCGAAGAATCGACGGAAATATCGCGAATCCGCGATATAGTCCCGTGTGAACATTGTTCAGAAACGAGGGAGGATTTCGAGAATCGTTGCGGTTTAAGTCGATTTTTCTTGACGACGACAAATATCGATGTAGTTCGCAAATTTTTTACAACTTTCTTTGTAAAATAGAACAAACTTCGGTTTAGAATGATCTACGATATTTGATCACAAACTTGCGTTTTGTATTAAAAGAAAGACAATTCATTCCATTGCAAATAACTTGAAGCTTCAATTGAAGAACTATTTTTAAAGGGTCAGAATACAGGATTGATCCTGTGTCTATTAAGATATCGACTCGCACCGATACGATTCTGAAGCGTGAGTGACTCGATAGGAAGGGTGGGCCGGGGTGCCGGACAATCGAACGAAAATAATCGCGAAACCGTGCCGCGGCACGATGCTGGCGTGCGTCTATCCGGCGGAGAACTTCAAGTCGAAAGCCGTGACGGTGAAGCTCCGGCACGGACGGTCCAAAAGAAAACCGAAGCTGTTGTCCGTGAAGGAGAAACCGGGGGACGGCAAACACCCGGAATGCAACGACGCCCTTAAGCTCGAGAACGAGGTAAGCATCCCACCGTCCCTCTGATGTGTACGCTACCCTTTTCTGTCCCTCAGCCGTACCGGGGGGCAAGGAATTTCTCTCGGCACGAGAATTTCCGGATGTCATTACCTTAAAGAAATATGTGCGAGCAATTTTACATTGTCCACTTTTATTCCTATTTTACTGCGCGATGGTCGAGGGAGTGTGTTGCCAGTTTTTATGCAGACAAACATACGGTCGGACCAGAAGTTTTATATTCTATTGCCACTTGTTTAATTCCGTATTCTCTGTATGCAAAATTAATATTCGCATACTGTTCCGGGTTTTATTAATATTTATTTGAACTGCTCTTCATTGATTGACTTCAAGAAGAAAAGATAAATTTCTTGTAAGACAGACCTCATCCCTAATTTTTCATCTAGTGATGTTATCGCATCGTCGCTGTCTCGCAAAGTTTTTTGTCATTGAGATACCTCGTTCTACCTGATCGATAAATAAATCAATCGTTTATCAGCGACAGTGGACGTTCATTGCTTCCTAGCGATAAAACGAGTAGAAGGAGGGAAGGAAAATAGGGAAGTCGTGGTACTTGGCTACAAGAGACACCAGATCGGATATGGTTGATCGAGTAAATAATAGTTACGGCCACTTAAACTGTCGCGAGATAACTTTGCAAGCCGTTGGCCCGCGGGGGATTATTTCAATGAAATTCCTTCACGATTAATGCGTTCTTCCTCGGAAAGTGTCCTCCTCCTAGCACAGACCCGACGAATTTCCTTAATTACCACGCTGGAATTACCACACTTTCGGTATTTACGACGCTTTTATCGAAAGTAAAATTACCATTGAATATATCGGCAAAAAGATTCATTACCCTTATCCATGGCTGTGTCAACTGACATGAGTCTCATAAAGGCTTTTTGATTAATTGCATACAAGTGTACATTGTCAAGAACGTACAGATTTATTTTCTTAATCTAAACAATTTTACAATCTCAGTTACATATAATTTATCTTTTACTTTGACAAGCAAGGGACAATAGAAACAGGAGGAGAATATTTGGAAATTGCGATTCACATTTGCAGAAATCATATGTATGTCAGTGTGCATTTGAAAACAGGATGGAAACGCGTTGCATTGATTTCCGTAGAGAATTGCAGTGGAACGTTCGAAAACTCGGAAGCTTTGAAAAGGGATGGGCGGTGGCTGAATCGTACGCCAGTTCGTGTCTCCGATTATTACGTAGAAAACTGTTTCTGAAAAAGTTAGCTGGCCTTTTCGATTCACCCGGTAATTGCCAGCTCGTTCACCGGTCCGACTCCACCTCCCCGATTTCTATTTTTCCTATTGTGGTGTTTTTTCGAACCGCCACACCGCGCGTCTCTTTGTTCCATTTTTCGCGGTTCGTCTGCATGAGAATTGCGCGATCCGATAGTCAAATTTCCCATTTTTCCTACTAAATTTATTATGCGATTTTAATAGATGCTCCGTTGTTTAATAATACAAGAGGCAACTAACACTTGGAGCTATTTACCGTAAAAGCGTTGAATTTATTTCTTGAAATCGGCGCCGCAGCGCGAAATACGAGCAATTTATTTGATCCAGGAGATTTCCTAGAGAAAGATTCATACAACACAGAGAGAGGAACAGTTTCAAATCCACCCGTTAAGAGGTGATTGCGAGGCTCACGCTTAACCTTGCCTGGAGACCAGAAATAAGAAAAGTCAATATGCCGTGTTCATTTCGCCGGACTTAGCCCTGGTAATACATACCCTGGTCTCGTTTCTGGTTTCTTGTTTTTATTCGAACTGAAACAATTTCTCTAATTGCTCTCTCCCATCCCTGTCCGAGATCCTCCAAACCTTGATTAAAATCCGAATAATTTAGACGTCAGAACAGTTTTGCTTGTACGATGTAAATTTCGTTTCATTATCCCGTAGCAGATTATTAGCGATTATCCGCTGTTTGGTTAACTTAGATATAACCCACGTTAGTGCGAATTAGAGTAGACACTCTCTTGTGCTCAAAGTTGTTAACGGGTTTCCTCGTTAACGCCACATTTATCCTGTTAATTGGTCTTAATTCTCGTGTTGATCCTGCGTATTATTTACCCTCGCATCCGACCGCGTTTCGCCGAGCCGAACGGAATGGACAAACACAATTACTAGCGGCTGAAGTTAGACCAAGGACAAACGTAGGAACATCGGGCTCCTGGAGGAACGCGATGCCGAGACACGTTCTCGAAAATCCTTCGCCGCAAAGGAACAATTCTACCGAGAATTATTTGCAAACGGAATATTCAGAGGCTGTCGCTCGTAAAGCTGTCCTCGACGTTCGCGAAATGGAAATCGATAGATAAATATTTAAATTTCGATTCGTATCAAACAAGAATTGAATATATGTACACTTCCGTTCACAAGTTTTACGGCAACTCTGCCCATACCGGCCATCAAAACGTTTGATAAATATTTCAGAGACTCCCCGTTGAAAGATTATAGTGAAATATCAAATGAATTACACCTCAATAAAATTATACTTCATTAACTCCGCCTCGTTCGATCATACGTTTTTCAGTATATCCTAAGGCTTATGAACGGGGGTGTATGAGTAGACGGAGTCCAGGAAATCGCCTGCCTTTGAATCGTTTCCCCTGTCCACGATGCTTGGGCTTAGGGAAGAAGCAATCTCGTTCGGGGCGGCAATCTGGCGAAGAGGTTGAGACAACGTGGCATAGAAACACCGCTAGAGGCGGAATAATCGAGCGTTGTAAAAAGATTAACAAGGCACTGGTGCTGTATAAAAATACGATTTCTTAACCAAAGCGCATCGACCATGCAGAAGAAGAGAAAAAATTATGCGTCGCGAGGCGCAACGAGCTTGAAAGTATTCGACGCGAATCCGGGAATGGAGAAGAAGAGGATGCATTATGGATGGGACGTGTTCATATTTTCATAAGAAGCGGGTAATAATGAGTAGGTCCGTTACAGTCGAGTTAAGTTTACAATTGTTACTCCGTGATACTTTTATTTTAAATCGTAACACTGAGAGTCTCTTTATTCTTTGAATAATTCACAACGAGATCGTTAAAGGTATCAAAAGAATTCCTGAAATTCCAAGATAATCTGAAAACCAACGAAATTTCTGCAATTCGGCAAGCACAATGCTTCGGACAGATAGCTCGGAGGCTATCCATTCCTCCGCGTACATACGTACAGGATAATAACAGGGCAGAGTCGCATCGCGTGTCCCTTGCAGAATTGCTCGTTCAAGAATCGGCCGTGAAAAACACAGCTCGAGGCTCCTTGGCGCGTCAAGAAAAGATTCCTCGATCCTTTCTTCCGATCGATAGCCCTGTTCAAATTGTTCAGTTCTTTTCTTTGCCGAGTTGCGTTAGACATCCCTTTTTTATATTTAATCGTGCGAATTATCAAGCACGGAACGATGGAAGGTCGATGTTTAACTTAGATGACTGAGGATAGAACACGATGGAGGGAGTATTAGAGGTCTAAGAACGAGGAGATAACTTTCGCGGTCATCAAAGTGCAATGTAATCGAATTCGGATTAACGAAGAGAGCGCAGGTATCGTCGGAACATCAAGAAAATTGAATCGCCGGTTAACGAGCGACGATGAAGTTTCCTCGATTTCTCCCGCTCGTTCGTCCGTTGATCCTTTGCATTAAAGATTACCTTCGCCATCGACTCGAGTGGAATGGAAGTGTGTTCGTCATTTTCCACGACCGAAAAGGGTGAGAACGCGATGTGGAACATCGTGTAATGCTTCGGTTCAACGACGAAGTCGATCAATTTCAGCGCTAATAGCTGGCTTCTCGCCTTAATGATGCGTCGAACTCTATGAACGGTTCCCGTGCAACAAAGCCCGCAGCAGCGGCTACGGCTGTCGCGCCTTCCTCTATTTAACGACAGTTCCCAGCCAATCTGGTTGCTGAAAATCGAGTTTGTTAATAATTCCGCGGGAGATAGACAGATATTAAACCGCGGGTAATACATCCTTTATAAAAATTGTTTAATAGACGGAAAACCGCTCTATTTAATGAGAAAGTAAGATTATTTTATTCGACCTTTTTTTGATACAATAAAATGTACGTCAGTTGAGAAAATTCTGAGGACGGAGGATGCAGTCAGTGAGAGAATCAGCGACGGACAGTCGCGCTTCTTTTCGTTTGACGTACGAAGGTTACCGAGAGTCCTTGTCGCTGTGGAATTCGAAGGGCCAGGTCGACCTTGGGATTCTACTTGGTATCGACTGCCGCGCGGCGGCCGGTCCTCTCCAGATGGTGCACGAGGTCAAGCAAAAAGAAGCGCGAACACCTCGGAGTCCGGACCTACCACTCTTCTTCGTCTTGGTCTTTCTTTTATTCGCGTTACGGGCCCCCCTCCTCGTTCTTCCATTTGTTCCTCCCTTACGCGAAATCGCGTAATGCTTGCGAATCCCTTGTTCTCCTCCTCCCAATCGTTCGTCGAGAAATGGCAGACTGACATTTAGAAAACGCCTCCCGCGACATCCATCCTAGATTTTATTATGCAACCGTGGTTATCGTGCAATTACATTGCATCCATTTCCGAGTGGGCGGTACAGGTTAATTCGACATTAGAAATTATTATAATCGGATCAGTGTTCCTTATTCCCTTACAGTCGTACTTTGAGAATGGACGGAACATATACACAACGAAATTTTCATTACATACCTTTTCATCTCTTTAAGGGAGAGAGAGAGAGAGAGAGAGAGAGAGAGAGAGAGAGAGAGAGAGAGAGAGTAACAACGCCAGGGAATATTTGTAACCGGTTTTCCTGATGTACTCTTAATTCTGTTTCAGTTACCAGTGGGCGGGGGTGGTGCTGTGCTGGTGCTCAGCGAGCTTGAAAGCATGGCAGCCAGGCAACAGCGGGAAATTGCCCAGCAAAGGCGCCTCCTGGAGCAGAGAGAGGCCCGTCTGGCCGTGCTTCGAGGCGCACAGGTAAGAAGAGAGACGCCTCCGTTCCTCCCCTTCCTAAACGCGGAAATCGTTCTGGAAATTGCTCGACAAAGCTCCCGTAATATTCCCTTGGTCTCGGCCTCGGCCTTGGCCGATGCCACGATGCGATGCGTTCCTTCGACTTCCGGCCGTCGATGAGACCGGCTTCCGCTAAAGACCTTGCTATCCGGACGCGCCGTGTCCTTCCTTTTTCCACGCTTCGTATCCTACGATCAAACATTTTCACCGTTAACGCGTGCGTTAATTCTGATTTGTATTACGCGTTCCAAGAAAAAGGATTTCAATTCGCAATACCTACAGTGACTCGCTGTATATAATATCAATCATGTTCGCACGATTCCTGCTCAACCATTACAATCCAACGTGTTTGCAATAAAACGAGTTGACATTTGATAAGTCTACGTGAGGAACGGAGTATTACCTGCTATCTTTATTAGTTATAAAACGATTAGAAAAATTGAAATCGACGGTGACTAAACGAAACGACACTCTGTGTTCCACGTAAGATCCTTTACGCAGTATTCAGTATCTTACGTTAGCTTTTTATAGCCGGCGAAAGGCGATAAAGTAGTTCGTAAAGATCCTTCGTTATAACCTTCGACGAATATAAAACCTCCGAATGATCCTCGACTTTCGTCGGCTACTGCGACCATCGAACGCCCCGCACGGAGAACGAAAAGCGAAGTGCGCCCGCTGAATAATCCATGAATAATTAACATCAATAATAAACTAGCAGTCAGTCTTTACCTACTTATTATCAATGGAATAATTGTTTTTTTCATATGATTCTCCGAATCTCGTTGTTTATCAACGCCGAGTCAGAGTTTCATCGCGAATTCGCGTTGGCAGCAAAATTTATCGCTTACATAATAAAGCATCGTCGCCAACTGGAGCTGCTTGCCTCGTAATTCTCGATTAGGCTAAGCGTTCTGTTCCCCCAAACAGGCCTTGCCCTGTGTACTCTCGCGCGAAATCCGCTTGCGAAGCTGCGCGGTTTATGACGCGTTCTCGTATATCCTTTGCTGGCCTGGAGAGTCGTACCTTTGCTTTTAGAACTATCTACTATCCAGGATGTCGTAACGGTTCGCCATGAGATTCATGCTCGCGAACTGGCGGTAGGATACACCTTCCGGAGGTTGAAGTTACACTCGCAGCGAACACCTGCTTCGAACCGGGTAAATAATTAGCGGGTTTCTATCCTTCGAGCAGGGATCGGACCGCAGAGCAACCAGCTATTACATCCATCCTGCATTGTCAGTCACTGTACTCGTGATCAAACTGCGGATGCATTATCATCCCTTACTGCTCAAACCCCTTTATACATTACTCTTTTTTTTATATTATTATCTATCTCGTACACACGTATGCATTTTGTTCTTCATTTTTTTAAACCCACATCAACGTTTGCCTCTTTCCATTCATAGTTCTAGTAATTTAATAAATTTCCCAAATACACAAGTAATGGTCCCACTATTCCTTGAACAATCAGAAATATTTTGCATCAGAGAGTCAGGTGTTTCTCGTGGAGCGCGGGTCGAATCGCATGCGTGTCTTCCATGTGACGCGTGAAAACGATAAAAGGAAGAGAAAAAGAAGCGAAGGCAATCGATTTGTGTCTACCGTTAGGATGACCTTGACTGTCATGACCTTGGCCCTGAACGGAGAACCCGATGGTGGATGTTTCATGATGGATGGGGAAGCGCGAGGGATCAGGTGGAATACGGCAATTATATTGCGACACGACACGCTATTAATGACAAGCTTACCTTGCATGATTCCTTTGACTCTTATGAGTAGACCGCGGATTTTTATGCAAAATAAAATATTTGTGGCATCAATTTAAATTTGCTTAATCATTTGAACATCGCGATGCGCGTGCAGCTTTTAATATTTTACATATCCTTATATTTTCTGTTGAATTTTTCTGTAAATGCATACGATATCTAATGTACTAAAAAGAAAGCGTTCTCACAATTTTATGAATTCCAAGTGCGATTGAATAAGCATCTCTATATGGGTGACTTCTATATAAAAACTCTGCTTCCCGTAATTTTCTGCAATATTACCTCCTTTGAGATTTTGTGCAATTTTATGAACGAATTTCGATAACGTAAAATTGCATCACGGATTTCAGCTTATCGGTAGACGATCGAGTAACGAGCGGCCAAAAAGCAGCGCCTGGCTTCAGAGTAGAGAGATGGGAGCGATTTGAAAATCGCCGATTAAGCTCGATCCGCTTAGCGCGCGATTTTAATCAGGTCGCCCTCTTACATCCTCTTGCGTAACGCGTATTTTTCCCGAGGAGCAGCTCGCAAGAGAACGCTTCCTTGTCTCGGGATGTGCTTAGCACTCGACTCGACACGCGTATAACGAGCCTCCTCTTCTGCGATATTAACAAGATTAAGAACGTCGCGCCCTTCGCCTACTTCGTGTCTCGTCGCGTAGCTCTAATCTCCTGCGCGCTCCTCCTTACTTTGAACAACAAATTCAGGCGCTCCGTCGGATGTCGACAATTGCTTTGAAAAATGTACAGGGGAGCTCTTGTAATTTGTAAAGCAGTTTATCGTAATTTACTCAATTAGTTACCTCGAAATCCCTTTACCTTTGATTCACGGAACTTCTGAAACTCTAAAGTATAATTCCCTGTAGAATTTTGTCTCCCATCGCTTTCAATATAGAAGCGCATCGTTCATCTCGATAAAATCGACCCGGTAAAACCCCGTGACGTACTCGAGGAGACGCGCGTCGTCGGTCGCGCAACGAAGGCGGCAGATTCACGAACGATTCAAACTAATACGAGGTAGGGTAGAGCGACGACAGGACTCAGCCGGGATTTCGTACGACCTGAAAGCCTTAATCCCAGTCGCCGTGGCTCTATTCCGGGACGAGGACGAGGACGAGATTCGATACCCTGAAGATGGAAAGTTTTATTCTCGGTCGGTGAATCCTCCGTGCGGTGAATATCAGACCTGGCCGGTTTTCTTCATAAGCTCGGCGAGTTTTTAATGGCTACAATGTACATGGTACAGAAAATCTCTGTGAGCCTACAATATGACCTCTAATTTGGATAGATGCTTTTCGAGAGATTACTAGATTCTGACCAAAAGATACTTCTAAAATAGTACCCGTCTCCATTCTTCAGATTTTTAGATTGGAATCTACATTAAATTAATTCAAATTATTTTAATTTTGGAACGCTTATACAAATTCAGTGAATCGACGACAAACCTCCTTTTTATAGTGGCATATTTTGGTCTAAACTGGAAGCAGTTTAATTATTTACCAGTCCCGAATTCGTCGCGTTTGTTGACCTAAGCCGAGTTTGGCGGGCATCTCGCGAACTGTATTAGTAACGAAAGCAGAGTAAACGGGCTAGCTAAGTCACTCGGCAGGACAACACAAATGAGCTCTTTATTTGATGACCGCTTGAAATATTCCGCAGCCCTGTTCGTCGATCACCATCGCGCGCTTGTTAGCCGACGGGTATTCACTCTAGGCTCGGCGCGGTTTGCGGCATTATTCCGTTGTGTTCAATCCCTGTACTCAGTGACCGTTGTTTACTGTTTCAGGAGCCAGCACAGCAGGACAAACTCGCCAGATTGAGGCATAGGCTGGACCAACAACAAAGCAAGCTGAATCGGCTGCGATTGCTCAGATCGCAGACCGACCAGTCACGTGCCAACAACGCCACGCTGAGTAAGTCGATTATCAATTCTCTGTATCTCACCCCTTACTCCTCATCGCATCCTCATCTTCTTGTTATCTCTCGTATCTTTGAATCTATGCACATACAATATGAGTTTCAAATACTCGTTAGAAAAGCTTAAACAAGCTGAAATCCTGAAAAACTTGGTTCATTTTATCGAATCACAATCCTTCTAAAGGGTCTCTTATGCTTTGACATAAAGAGAGGGAAAACGAGCTATCATTTGATTAAGTACCAGTCATAAGGAACCCTGTTTTATAACAGGGCACCCTTAAAACGGCGATGAACTTTGTTAATCCAGTTCTATCGCGGAGCATCGAAGGCATATTGCACTCGACAGTGAAAGTTCGATTTAAGCGCAACGGCGAATGAGCGGACAAATAAATAGCTTCACGAACGAACGAAGAAGAATAAAGGGGAATTTCTGCGTTCATTTTGGTGGCCGGGAGGAATATCGTTCAACTCCGGTACGGAGGAGGCTCGTTACGGTTTGATTCGTATTCTCGATCGAGAAGACGATCTACCGTAATTTTCAGGGGAATCGAACGTCTCGTAAAAGGAGCCAGCCACGGTGGAATATCGAATTCAATAAAGATTTCGCGGGCAAAATGGACCCCATTCGTATCGGGCATACCCTTCCTCGAAAGCCTCCGTCTGCCCGTTTTGGACACGAATGATGCCGGATTTACGGCCACGTATATGCGACCTCTTCTCTCCATCGACCATTCTTCGAAATCAATCCGAGATTCCCAACAATTTTAAATGTTACGAGTTCGGATTGACTCCAGTATTAAGACTTTTAATTTTTACGTTGAAAGAATAATTTTGCATCGTCTATCCTCGGTGCTGAAAACTCTTGTATCGCTGACCGTGAGCCCCTCAAATCTCATTCCCTTTTGAACGAGAAATAGCTCGATTAGCCTCGTTACAAGCAAAGCGACACCTCTCCCGTCCCGTGGTCTTCCAAACACCATCCGCGTAAGTACCTCGACGTTCGAGTGGAGTTCAGCTTTCGAGTGAGCCTGGGATCACGCGATCGCATTTAGAGAGAAAGCTCCGCTCGTTACGAACGGTCGCATTCGGTACTCGGTAGGACGTCTATCCCTTCTCAATTAAAACCGTCAGCCTCGTCATCCGCCATTGTCTTGTTCGCTCATGTTCGCCAAATCGCAACTTCTTCGAGCAAACTGGCAGTGACTCGTTATCCAAACCCGCGAGCAGATTAGCTCGACGAAAAGTCTGATCGAGCAGTTATCGCTTTCGGGGTGCAGTTTGTTCTTTGTAGGACGACACTGTTCATTTCCGGTTACCGTCTTCTGCGACTGATTACTCATAGAAATGCAAACGATGGAAATTCATCGGTAGAATAAGTTGGACTCACTCGGAGCATAAGCGTCGTGTCGTACTTGTTGCAAGTTTCTCGAGCAACAGAGCGCGGATCCTGTTCGAAACTTCGTATTATTATTCCGATCCAATATAGTCAGCAGAATCGTGTACGCTTTCATATTCGTCGCTATCCGAAATGGACTTACGAAGAGCATATACTCGCTTTGCAAGCAGATACCCTCAGATATTTTGGTCTGAAACAGTTGTCGTTTAAACTATACGCCAAAACATGGTTGCGAAGTATTAGATGGTTTATCAAATTAATTTAAACTTCAATTAATGGCGTACATCTGTCCTGACGAAGAAAATCTAAATGAAGTTTTAAACTCATACGCACACATAGAACGTATAGACCGGCGAGTGTATGCACAAACTTTTTGGCGTTCGTTATCAAAGCGGCTCTCCAAATATTCCTTCCCAACGAGATGACACGCGAAGATTGGAGCGAAACGGAACAGACACGGTCGTAATTCAGGTAAAAATCCGGCCATGGTTTATTTAAAAAGGGATCCTTCGAATTAAACGGTCGAGACTCGGAGCCCGGTTTAATTAAAGGGAGTTTTCCGCTTCCCCTCTCCTGTGCACGGTTTCGCGGACAAAATTAGGTGGCCCGTATAAATTCACCGTAGCAAAAGTCAGGGCGCAACGCGACGCCACGAATCATCCTTTTTCCTCCTCGAAATCGTTCTTCGACGCGTTTCGTTGCTCCCACGAGCCGCACTTCGCCTTTGAACGTCGTATTTACACCGAAATATTTCTCGGCCCGTCGAGATTTCACCGAGGTTTCATTTCCTCGGTATCTATGTCGATGCCGCTAGGAGTGAATTCTGGAGGTCACGGAGGAAAAGGAAGGAGAAGATCGTTTCGAGGACGGAAAGACCCTTGGACCGGTTCGACGACGTTCGATATGACAGAACTTGCTCGACGTTACGTCGTGTCGTCGTCGACGGATTTACCTCGTTCCGAGATAAATCCGGTAAAGTTCTTTGAACCGAGAGTTGTTTGGCATCGACAAAGACTCCGTCTCTCACAAGGAAACCTTGCGAGAGTAAAGGGCATTCTACAAGCTCTGAGATCATTTTCAATGATCTACACGTACATTTTGATGCACTAGATCGAATGTTTTTTCATTCTCACCATCTCTTCTGTTTTTATTGACACTTTGGTATATAAGTTTATTTTAGCATTTGTGTCGGAAGAAAGAGCATCATGAATAATAATTATAAAATCTGGATAAAAGAAATGATAAAGTAACGTCAAGAGGTCCTTTTAAACGGGAGAGTCCAGCTAAATGTTCTTTAAAAATATAAGGCCTTCAAGCGAAATAATATCCGTCGGGGAGTTTAAGGAAAAATTGACGAAAATGAATCGTCTTTTCGCGACCAACCTTTTCACGGAATAGAAAAATTTACCGGATCCTTGCAGCGAATGCGGTACGCGTCTGCCGACTGGAGTTTTGCGGGAAATTAATCCCGCGAACTGACGGACGTGGCTGCGTAATCGTAACTCCACCTACCTATTTTTTGTTTAATAGTTTCCACTTCATCGTACGAGCGACCGAACTTTTTTACACACCTTGAATTAGTACTGAATACAACAAATTTAGTTAAGTTAGTTAGAAGTTAATTAGTTAGTTAGTAATTAGTTAGTTAGAAGTTAATCTTATAATGACAGATTGACCGTCTTCTGATCTATAAGATAGAAAGTTAATTGAAACATCAATGAAATTAAGTAGCATTGTTGGATTAAATTGATATTTGATAGGACAGTTAGATGATGAATGAAATGTTGTCTTAAAATTCGAAATTGTATCGTAATCCATCTTCTCTGGCTATTGATAACGACACGGGCCTGCTGTTAATGGCTTAATCCCAAAGGAGATTAGTACGCACCATTCGCCGTAACGCGAGTCGTGATTCCAACAGATTAGACTGACGGAGCAAGTTAACGCGCCTCGGATACACAACGTTAATACTTATCTTATAGAACTCCGATTTGGAACGTGGAAATCCGAGTTTCTAACAGAGACAAAGAACGTTTCATCTCTTTCTGTAACAAATATTACATGTATACTTTTCTACGCGTGAAAGGTTCCATATTCAAAATTGGAACTCGGACAAAGAGTTTCATGTCGGTTCCTAGCGAAGCTCTATCTTTGTGCTCGTTACAGTGAGAAGACGTTTAGCAGAGATATTTCTGAATGATAATTCCAACAGAATTTAGCCTGCAAACCCATATCAGCTTTTTATGCGCAACGTACAAGTTGGAATAATTTCTAGAACAATCATGTCGTATCGCAGATCCCTATATGAAGAAATGTAATTAACTTCTCTTTAATCAGGATGTCTTTACCAATTTTTTTCTCTGAAACGAACTGGATTTGTTCGATCTAAAACATTGTCAATCTTTCTTTTCTTTCCATTCGATCGTAGCTTTCTCCATGAAAATTTCCGCGGCAAGTGTCTTTTTGATCTCGCGGCGGTATAATTCGGAGTCGCGGTGACCTTTTCCCGGGGACCGGACACATTTTTCCTCTCGAGTTTCACCATTATCTCTAAAGCCGAGCAGATGAAATCCAATTGTAAAACTTTGCCGAATCGATTCGAGCGCAGAGTTGACGCGAAATCAGAAATGGGAACGTGTTGCTGGAAATTGCGGAACTTTTTTCCTTCCCCCTCCTACCCCTCTCGCCGTACGCGCGCGTACGACGAGAACTTTCATTATCCCTCGGTTTCATCTAATCACTTTACGAGCCTCGTTACTTCTAATTGACCCGGTGGCCGCGAGTTGTATCGTAAAAATAAATCAAGTACATTTGAAAGGGAAAAGTGTTCATCGCGTCGATAAATGGTACGAGCTCGCCTAAATTATTAAAACGAGAACGTCGGACGCGGAAAAGGGGAATCCCGAAGGCCTTGATCCAATTGGAAAGCACACGGACAGAAATTTCCACGCAAGTGGAGGAAACACCGCTCTTACATATGTATGACGAATCAAGAATTACCAAGTACCTACTTAAATCTCTCGGTTATAGGTCAAAATGTGTATAAACCTCTATATTCGTTTACCAAATTCTTCCCAACTATCGTATATCTCTTCTCTTAAACGTTCTTTTGTGCACGATAAGAGAATCTCCCAAGACTGTTCCGAGGTCGTAACTCTGAACGAGGAATCGAAGGATCATTGCAACCCGTATGTCGTTTCAAACGATTTCATAGTTTTAAAAGCGAAGTCGTTTCATTTCTGAATTTAGAAAGTTGGAAACATAAATGTTCACTTAATCAGTTGCTACTTTTAATTGCGCGGTCAACGAGCGAATCGCATTTTTAGATCCAGAGAAGAAAGTAAGAGGAAAATCTCTTTATCGTTTGATCTTTATTTATGTATGAGACTTCTTCAACTTTTTGATCTATCTGGGAAGAATGGGACTCGTGAGTTTTGCAAGATCGGAACTGAGAACTGGAAACGATATTTCCGAGTCTGCGACGCGGGCTAAATTTCACGAACTGGGTTAACGCAACCGTGACCCTCTTCCGATCGCGAAATTTCGTTTCGACGTAGCAGGAATATGATCGAACGAACGTTGTTCGCTTTCGTTCCTGAG